TACACTAATCTTAAATGCCACAAAGAAAACCTTAAATAAAGCAAACCGGATGTTTCATTCAAAACTGCTTACTATAAACATAAATAAAATGCATTACAATACCTTTTTTATCTGAGCAAATACCAAGTGATATAATTTGTATTATATATAATATAAGTAATATAATATATCAGTTTTTTGTACAAAAAACACAAAAAATACCTTGTTATGTATGATACAATTTCATTTCGTGCAAAAAAATAGATACTATAATATGACTACTTATACATAAATACACTTATGCACATATAGATATAATAAAGGTGACACCTAATTTTATAGGACGTTAAAAATTTGTTATTGGGACGCTAACTAACGATACGTTATATTGATTATCACCACTTAAGTAGAAATCTAAAACTAATTGCGCCAACAAAAAAAAGTTAACGAATGTGCTAAACACTGAATAAATCATTTTATATGAAAATAAATCACTTGATTAAGCAAATAAATTCACAAATTTTTCAAGTATTATGGCGTAAAAGTTAACACTTATACCAAAGAAATGAATAAGCTGGTAAAGAGCTACAACCAAATATATAGGAAAAAACTTTTCTAAAGTTCTGTTATGATTTATAAACAAGCCGCCAATGGAGCAGAAACAGTGCGACCTCAATAAATCTTTTGTACTATATAAATACATATTTTTTTAATTATGAGTAGTAGTATGTTTACACTATTGCAATTAACTCAATAAATGTAAAGTAATAAATGCCTTTTTTTATACGAAATATGTTAAAAATCCCCAATATATATATATTAAATCCTTCAACTCCTATGAAGAGCATTGGGCCGCAGAAAAGAAATGCTAATGGGGATCAGTAATTGTAAATGCACACATAGTATGATACAAAGAGAACAGAAAATTGTGATTATGTATATCGCACCATTCAATAAGTTCGTAGAATTTAGATTGCTTAGAAAACAGCAATCTTCAAATACAATATATCAAACTAAAGTTATAATGATTTTACTGACACCGAGAAATATCGTGTGGGTTAGCTAACTAAACATAGGTATGAATGTGAAAAAGTATTATGATGCCTTTGATATCTTAACTCATAACGCCTGTACTCATAACGCCTGATAATCACAGAATTTTAAGCCCAAATTCAATTATAATTGCGTTTACGACACAATGTCTCAGATCGGTATACCAGCAAAGCTAATACGCATCTGCAGAATGACGTGAATCAAGGTAGGATCAAATCTTTCCAAACGATATCAAAAGACCCTAAAAGTGACTACAGAACTCAAATTTTAGCTGGTTAAGTTTTGGGCTCTTTAGCTTGAGATGTACATAGTTTTTTATTTATCGATTAACTTTACAAAGAAAGCGCAATCAATAGCGAATACTTAGTAGCGTTATGAGCGTGTTTAAAGGAAGAAATTGTGAAAAAAAGTTCTAAAATGAAGAAGATGTATTAATACTGAGACAATGCATTATGTCACAAGTGGATCACAATAATGGCAAAAACAGTACTTTGAATTTCGTCTCTATCCACTTTTTTTTCAGAATCAACTTTCTAGCGATAACTAACTGTTAGCAAAACTAAAATAAAAGATCTAGCGAAAGAAATTTGACTTTAATGCAGAGTTGATTTTTTATGTGGATAGATGGTTCTAAAAAAAAAATCGAAATGTTGGAGAATAAATGTTGAAATGAATGTATCACTGTTGAACAGAATAAATTCGATTTGTACTTAAAAGTTGTTATTTTTTACTTCTAATATATCCTAATATATCTTATGAGCTAATAGAGTAATAAGTTAATCTTATATATAAAAATCTATCGAAAAATGTGTTTGTAAGCGGATAACTCAACAACGCCTGGACTAATTTGGTCAAAATTTTTTTTTTTAAATGTTCGTTGACTTCCTTTGCAGATCGTTATCTCCACTATCCAAGCGAGCTACCCACTTTTTACATATTTGTCACCTTCAGGTTTCCACTGTCCCTTTAGATTATTTTCCAATCAGGTTTGAACCGTAAGTTCGCCTCCTAATTTGATACCCTCTGGCAGACATCCCACTCGGGATTTTTTAGTGGATCCCAAAAGGGTGGCCAAAGTTCTTGGAAGAGAAAATACTTTGGTCACCCAAACTGAACCCGACACACCAGGGTAACTATTCTGTTCAGGAGATTTTTTTGCCCTGTCTATAAAATAGGTAGGAACAAAAACTGCCACATTCAAAATCTTTTTGACAGAACGAAGTCTGTCAGGTCCGCTAGTACATTATATAACTCTTTAATGAAACTTAGATTATGATATTGAAGAAGTATAACGATATTTTAATAGTTTAATAAATGATTTAGCAATATTTGAATTATTTTATTATATATAGTTAAACTGCTATAACTTGAAGTATCATTTTGCAAAGAAAAGGTTTGATGTATGGAGACTTTAAGTTAAAGATTTTTTTTGTTATTGTATGTAATTTGTTTTCAAAACCCTGTTGCACTATTGCACTATAGGTATTTAGTTTTAGGTATAAAAACTTCGAGTTATGGAAGTTTGACCGTATTTTTAAACTTATTTTTTTAAAAACCACAATTTTACAGAAATATAGAGATTTTAGTTTATTTTAATAAACAAGATACTGCACTTATTTTTCTAGACAATAACGAATAAATTAAGAATGTAAACGATATAGATACATTTTTATATGGCATTAACTTCTTTATTCTATTGTTGTTTTGCAAATAATTTTTGTTCTTTTATATATACTAAGTTATATACATTTTATATATAATTATTAACTTAGTTCGCATATTTGCATACATAATCTGTACAGGTTATGTATAAATAAAAATATGCATAGTCAACAAATATATAGCTATATTTTAAAATGTTGATTTGCAGTTTTAAATTGGAGCTTAGCTTGATTATAAATTCTTTGCTCAATCAAGAAAAAATAAATTGATATGGCTTTACGAAGATACTTAAGAAAATATTTATACTTTTTTCAATTCCTTACACATTTTTTGTATGCTAAGTTTGCAGATTGAGAAATTCATATAATTTGATAATTAAAACTAATGCCATTCCAAAACGTAGCAAAATAAACTATCAAATTTTGCTTCGTCGAAGTCTAAATACAATTTACATTGAATTATTAAAATTTACTAAATAAGTTTATGGAACTTTACTTGTTCACTTTAAAATATATTTTTGATAGCAAATGTTTATGAAGAAGTAACACAGTTTGGCATGAGTTCTTCCTCGATCATACGCTCCATGTCGTTATGTAAAGTGTAAAACCCAAATTCCTTTTTGATAAGTAATCTTAGGCTAAATAAAGCAACTTTACCATAAAATTTTTCGTTGAAAAACTTTTTAACGTATTAAATTGTAAAGCTTCTACATACATAGGAATCTGAACCGTTTAAAATAGCCGACATATTTTGAGACAATATACTTTAATATCGAGATTTGATTCCTTGGTCCGCAAATTGAAAAAAAAAACCCTAAATGAAAAACCGTAAAGGAATTAGGCGGTTCCTATTTTTAATATTTAACGGTACACAGAATGTTTAACAACATCTGTCAAAAAAAAAAAATAACATGTAGTTAAATAACTCCCAATATCTCGAAAAAGTTATATACTACTTTTCAGTTTATTAAATATTTTCGTTTTTAATACCCAATATGTCTTTATGACTTAAACGTTCAGAAATTGTGGTTGTTCGAAATTCAATTTTCTGTTATATTTTCCGTTATAAAATTTTAGGTAAATATAATCTTACTCAGTATATTTATAGCAGAAATATTTATTTAGGTGAAACAAAAGCATGCAACAAATAATGCCTCTATAAACAGAATAGTATTGAAATTTAACAATTAAAAATAAAAAATATAATTAATTAATTCAAATATTCTACAGCTGGTTTATGATTTTATTCTTATATAGCACAGCAAGTTGATTTGTTAATAAAAACTTTTACAGAAAATTAACAAAACTTCAGAAAAATGTGCGAACATAAAAGTCAAGTACGACTTTGGGTCAGTTGTTTAACAAACACTGACTCTGAGCTTTAAATTTGACAGGGCACGAGTTCGATTCCTGGTACTTGTAATCTTAAATAACTATTTACGAATAACTAAATACAAGAATTATTTCCAAGACCACTAATGATGGGTATTTGACAATACTGTAAACAGTGTACAGTGTATGGTCAGCCAAAAATTCAATTAATTAAAATAATATAAAAAGAATTTTTGTTTTTGTAGTGCACTACTTTTCGAAAAACTTCTTTAGGTGAAATTTCAAATTTGAAACTGAACCCACACTAGTAGTTATAACAATTTTGAATTTCCCAAACTCATCTGCTTAGAAGATCATAGTGTTTAATTTATAATTATATAAATTTTTTTAAACAAATATTGAACTAAATATTCGCAATAATACCGTGAAAATTATAATTGCGAACTAAAGCAATTTCGATAATTAGAGCAATATTATTAGATTATGTTAACACTTACAATTATCGAAATCTGTATGAAAAATGACAATTATTGTTCCAGATTTGTGGAATTAATTGCGATAGTTTACTGTTTCTTGGGGTCATCCCCAAGTTTACAGTAATATACACATTTTTGAAATTATCATCGCCAAACATATGGTAGTGTTGTACATAAGATAGTTGACCTTTGCTAACATATGCTTGCTGTAATTTTTATATTATATATACTATAATAATAAATATTTCTCTCATAGATTTTAACAAAAAAAACATTAAAAATTAAGCAAAAAAAAAATGTTAAACTAAAACATTTGTTGGATTTTAAATAAAAGTTTAACAACATCAGACAAAAAAACCGCAGAATCAAATAAATATTTATTAAACTCGGTTTATTTTTAATTCAAAACTATAAAATATAAACACCACTTCAATATTTATTTAATTTAAAAATGTATTAATATAAAAATATAATATTAAAAAAATAAAAAAAAACTTACAAATTAAACAAAAGTAGTTGTAATAATAACAGCAATGCAACAATTCTTCGTTGACTTAATAACTTATATCCTTTATCGTTTATATTTATAACTGCAAGTTAAGAAATAAAAACAAAATAAATTGTTAAACACAGAAATTAAATAAAGCAATTAAAAATGACAATCATGATATGGTGTAAAATAATTATATTTTTTGCATATGTTTTTTCGGAATATTATATTACGGACCTGTTGAAAATTCGTAAGGGGCGTTAAATCCTCCATCGATTTTATCTGTTTTCCAATTTCCGCACAGCCTCCGAAGGTCAGACTACAGATTATTATATTTAATATATGTTGTAATTATGTGCGTTGGTATATGTATGTTTATAACTGCTTGATGCGCAAAATGCAAACAAAAAAATATGTAATCACTTTGTATTGTTATGAATTATATTAATGATGCGTCAACAATTAATTTGCTGTTTTGATTTGGTTTTAAAATGCAACTGATTAAAGAAAAGCAGCACCGAATTATTAATTATGCATTCAATCACAGCGCACATAAACCAAACCACGACGAATCAGTAGCGAACGACTAACAATAAAAACAACGAAAACAAATAAAAAATAAATTGGTGGTTAGTGATGGCAAAAAAGGTAGCAAAGAATGTAGTAAAAATGTTATCAAAAAGTATGAAATAAACAAACAAGAAGTTATATGTAAATAAATAAATTATTAAATAAAGGTTTCAAAAATAAATTATTATTTATATTTAAATATTATAATTATTGTTTCATGCACGGTTTAACTGCACATTCTTGAAATTTGTAAAGAATCGCAATTGTTCTTCACTAATTTTGATTTTTTTTGATTTTGACAGTTATCGATAACAAAAATATTTTTTATTATTCATCACTAACAGAACTGACGTGTTCGTGTTTACGCCTGGTCTTAAGAGTTTTGTTCGCATCGGTAGTAATTATTTTCATAAGTAATTGGCTAAGAAATAAATAAAAATGCCTGAATTAACTAATGTTGTTGTAAAATTCTACAATGATTACATTACCAACACGCCAAAAAAACTGAAGTTAGTGGATTCCTATTTGCTCTACATACTAATTACCGGCATTGTTGAATTTGTGTACTGCTGTTTAGTTGGAACCTTTCCATTCAACTCGTTCTTGTCTGGATTTATCAGCACAGTAAGCTGCTTCATACTGGGTGTATGTTTACGTCTTCAAGCTAATCCACAAAATAAAGCAATCTTCCTTGGCATTTCACCTGAACGTGGATTTGCGGATTTCATATTTGCACACATCATATTACATTTGACTGTAATAAACTTCATCGGTTAAAAATGATTTAATGTATTAAGTAAAAAATAAATCACAAATTATATATTGTGTACTTCTGAAGTAAATTTTATTTCATTAAATAAGTGTTTAAACGAAAAAACGAATAATTATTAAAAGTAATTCGATGTAAATTTGGATCTTTCGCCTGCATATTTTATACAAATTTATAAATGGGCTAATTGCATTCGTATAAAAAATATATCTCATGCGGAGCTACTCATTTTCCTATAAACTACAAATTAAGACTTTTTTGGCGGATTTTTGCTAGGTGGTTTGCCGAATTTTTGAATAGATGATTTTGTCTTGTTTTTGGTTGGTGGTGGTTCATGATCCTCGACATTCAGCGATATAAGATTTTTGAAAATTGAAACATTACGTGGAAAATTCAGTTTGCGTGTAAGCTAAAAAACGGTAATGTATGTAAAATTAAGATACAATTTAAAAGATCAATGATAAACCTTTCTTGCAATTATAGCATCTATGGAATTTGCTACATCAGGTTGAAGGGAGCGAAGTTTATTCCAATGTTGCCTCTGCTTTTGGTTTGGTAAATGCTGTTTCGATTTTGAAGCACAATTTGTAGTGGAACTTTTCTTTTGTTTCAATTCCGATTGAATAGGTAAACATTTGGCATGGTTTGAACCACATTTTAACTTCGTGGTCGAAGTCGGTTCCTCGATTATATTAATATATTTAGTATAGGATTTCGACTGATAACACATATCTGAACGGTGTGCGTACTCTATTGGAGTATTACATGGCGGTATAAGATTCTTACCACAAGACTTTTTAACTTTTTTTGCCAAAATTTTGGTATCACTTCCAGCGGCACATTTCAACAGCATATGATTTGAATTGTATATTTTCGGTTTTGGTTGTTCCTTCAGACAATCGCAGATCTTCCTTCCTGTCAGTGGCAGTACACCATTTCCATGAAAATTTTTCAAACCTCTTGGAGTGTTCTGTGGCACAGGTAAATGTTCGCGACATATAGTTTTATGCGTTAATAGAAGTTGTGGACAATCCCAAATCTGTCTCTCAGTAAGCGAAGTAGCAACATTTGTTCTAATAATGTTTTTAGTCATATTAGAATTTTGTGTCGTAATTCGGTCCCCCTTTCCTTTTGCCATTATATTTTATTTTAATTGAAACACTTGTTGCTCTTGATAGGCAAAAATATGATTTCGGTACTGATTTGCTTACTTGAACAGTTTAGACCATAATAAAGTTGAAAGGCAATCGCAAATTCTTATTTCAGAGAAACATGTTTTTAATTGACTTATATTTTTAAAACTTCAAAAATATTTAAACTTTAAAAATGAAGGTTAACTTGGTTTTAAATATAGTTTTATAGTAAAAAAAAAAAACTATCTAAGAGATAATTACGTTGTTTGTATATCGCGGATCTGTATAGTTCCTTTTGTGTGGGCGAATGATATTTGGTCGTCAAACTCCACAAGGTCGTTCAACTCTGTGACTTGAACCCGGCTTTTCTTAAAACCAGACAATATCACTCATTACAACTAAATCCAAAATAATTACGAGCAAGTAAAATCGAACGTAAATAGGATTTTCAAAAAATAGATATTTAGAGTAAGGTCGACTATTTACAAAAACATACATGCGTTTAGACAGATCCTTCAATGACGGTTTGTCAAAATTTTGAGTAAGGTTATTTATTGACAAATATATACATGCAGTAAGATAGATCATGCACTAAAGATCTGTAAAAATTTTATGGCATTCGTACGAATAAAACCGGAGTTTGGGATTAATTTTGAGAATAAATGGTTTTTTTATGTTTGAAAATTTTATTATTACAGTCTATGGCATGGGTACAAGCTTTTACCACATGGTAAGAGAAAAAACATCTATTCTATCGCCTTACAAATAATGAAACTTATTTAAAATGCTAAATGCAAAAAATATTAAATATTTCTATGTAGAAATTACCTAAAGCCCATACTATCACGTGGGTCTGAAATTTATGTTATACATATGTATGTGTATTGGATTTCAGTAAAGGAGGATAAGAACGCAACACCACAAATGCATTATAAGACCGGTTTTATTTATATCTTTAGTATATGATTTCTTGTTCTTCAGTTACCTCTCTTAATAAAATAGGCTATAACCATATTTTTAATAAATAATAATGTTATATATATAATAAATTATGGCCCAATGTTCCCATGGGAACGTACTGGATTGATTGATTGATTGATATATAATAAGTAGATATATTTCTAGATATAATAGAAATCTATATAATAAATAGATTCGAAATATTTAAATAAAGCATTTGCGTAATTGTTTTTTTTTTTATTATTTAGATATTAACAAATATTTACATAAATGACATTAATGGATATTCTAAGTTATTAAATGCGAGTTCTTTGACAACTCAAATATTTAACACTTGTACAGGATCTCTTTCATTTGTTAATTCTCAATCAGAAAGATGATTATAAGAGCAAGTTGGTGATTCATTCATACAAAATACAAATTAGTTGAAAATTTCTACTAGGAATACAAAATTAAAATTTTTACTATATTTATTGTTACACCTGTAATCACTATAACAAAAAGGAGCTATTTTTCTTTTTTTCTATGCAGGCAGAGAACAGCTCACACACCTAATTGAGATCCTTGAGAACTAGAAAAAATTAACTCTTAACGATCTTCTTATGTTTCTAAATCATACATATTGGATCAAACCGATGTATTTGCATTAGTACCCACTGTGAGGCGAGCAAAACGATGAACTGCAAGGATGATTTTTTCAAGTCAAATGTAAAAGCAGCCCTTTATTATGGCTGCGAAACATAGAAGCATTTAAAGCAGACAAAAAGGAAGATACAAACATTTTTAAATAAATGCCTGCGAGAAATCCTAGAAATATGGTGGCCTAACCACATATCAAATGCAGAACTTTTATTCCAAACAAATCAGAAAGCTGCTGTAACCGAAATAAAAATGTGAAAATGAAATTAGTTAGGGCATACTATCCGACGACCAAATAAATACATTCCACGACAAGCTTTGACATGGAACCCACAAGGCAGCAGACGCCCTGTTACAGCGGCTTTAACTTGGAGAAGGACAATTGAAAGAGAAATGACAGAAGCGCACTACGCATAGAACGATATATGCAGAGATGCACCTAACAGAGTGAGGTTTAAGAGAATGGTTGCGGCCCTATGCTCCACTAGGAGAAACGGAAACTATGAAGAAAAAAGGATGATTCTTAAAAATTTTATAAAATAAGGATTTGACTTAAAAGTAAAGCTGTTGACGAATTCTAAAAACTTGTAAAAAGAAATATCTAGAAATAATCGAAAATATTTATCATTATATGAGATCACAGTTTTACGTAATCTTTGACATTGTTGACCACATGTTTCAATTCCTCGCGGCACTACGCCTGGCTCGTACTTCCGTTTTTTCGCGAAATAGCTTCGGCGCTTTCAATCTACCCTTTATATGATCATTACGTCGGCTGTTTAAGACTTTACAGGTGTCACGAGCGCCTGCCAGCACTTGGTTTCCTCCAATTCGTGGTTCATATGTTATGATTAGGTAAATCTAATAAATGCTATTAATATATGCTTTGCTAATATATAGTTTGTGTGTATAGCTTATCGCTGTTACATTCTTTTTATAACCAAAAATTTTTCACGGAATTTTATTTTCATTAACTCTTAGATTTGCTGGTTTATATACATACATAGGTTATTCTCCACAAATAACAATATGATGAGAAAATTATAAAATGTATCATCAGAATGGAAAATGCAATGTCATTATTGTGGAATGTCATTAGTATATATTACATATCATATTGTATACATAGTTTTCTGATACTAGTTTCCAATTTTTTTCCAATACTCAGTTAAACTCGAAATTACTTGTGAAACCTACAATCCTTGATCATTTCATTCTACAAACTCTGATACTCATGCATATGCAGTATGTATGTATATAACTTTATAAAAACAAAAATAAGAGGCTTTTAAGTAACAATTTGAAGATTTACCTTTATAATTTATATTGATATTTATTATCACTCCTATACAATATGTTAAAGGCAGTTTCCGTAAATGTTACTATGATCATTACATTAAATTGGAGTTGTCACCATTCCGATTTCGCCATGCATGACTATTTGACCGGCTTTTGCAGCGACGGCTTTTTGGGCAACTTTTCCCACTACAGTTTATGTAGTGTATGTAGATATGTACATTAAGATGGGCTGGATATTAGAGTACCGCTTAAGATTAAGCGGTAGAAACCAGCAAAAGAAGAGGTCGACTAAGAAAACGATGTGCGCAGTAGGATTTAAAAGAATGAACATAAGAAATTGGAAAACATAAGCAAAAAATAGAGAAGAATGAAAGGATGATTTTAAACAGGTTTTTTTTTTTGACATTAGGTGGATGTGCGAAAGCCACCGTGTGAGACTTGAACCCACTAAACCACCTCTTAGGAATGAATGGAGAAGATTTCCACAGCATTGTGAAAACTTCTGAAAACTTCATTCCAGTAATCCGGGGAGGGAGAGAAAAAATAGACTTAGTACCTAGCGAGCTAGATTCATCTGAGCCAGAAAGCAAGGGTGTACATAAGGTAAACTGGGTTATAGAGAAGGAGGTGGGGTTAGAGCAGATGCGCGGGGGTGAGGTTAGCGGTAAACAGGCTTAGGTCCTACATGGACTCTATAGTCACGGATGATGTACCATATGTCAACATAGCTTAGTTTTGGAGATATCGAGATCACTAATTACTATAGTAAATATTATATACAAAATTCACACAGAAATGTGCTAATAGATTATGTTATAATACGATTATTATAAGAAATTGAAAATAAAAATTTTCAATAAATATTTTTAAATCAAATTCAGTTAAATGTACTTCGTCTCTAATTTTCTAAGAAAAGTTTTAAGTAATACTAAGTGTGCAATAAATATTAGTATTATATATTATTTTTAATACATATTAGTATTATATATTGGCATTATTATGATATACTCTTAATGGCATAAAATTTAGTTTCACTATTCGTAGTATAAACAAATTGCACTTAAAATCGATTTTATTTTATTATATAATAAAATAATTATCTAACGAAAATAAAATTTTATTTTAATTATTTAATTGCAATAAATAAATTTTCAAATTTACTATAGGAAAACATATTTGTAGAGATAGGGTTGCAATGTAGAGTTTTTTATAATTGTGTAGTTTATTTGTTTAACAAAAGTGTAGGTCGATTTTTGTTGTGTATTAAACAATAAGCAATCATTTATATAAATAAAAAATTATTTTCACATATTTTTTTAATTTAATGATATGTAGCCTTATATGTGTTATTTGCATCAATTTAATAATATAAATTATTTCAAAATAATATATGTCTGACTGTCCCTAAGGCTGTTTAAAAATTGTTTCCATAAACATTTTAAAATGATAGGTGTATTCGTCTGCTCCATTGTAGGCACCTTGTCGTGTTGAAGGAGCTTAGATACAACATGAGGTACTCTGAGTCAGTACCTCATGTTTTTTTATGTTTATGTTTTTATTGTCAGTAATTTGTAGTAGTTAGTAGATTTACGTTTCTGCAAACTGGCAAGGTCTGAATGACTTAATAATATCCTAGTGTCTCAGGAAGTAGGTGGCTGTGCAGATCATCTACTAAGTTCCAGCTTATCAGTCAAACTCATCAGGGTAAGTGCGACAAAGAGGCCACTTCTCTGCCAAGGGTGGATCGCTGATTGTCAGGCTGGAGAGAGAAAACTTCTTGGGTATGTAATACTAGTAATTGTTTTGTCATAATATATATGTGTGTGTGTACCCACTTAGTATGTACAGTACCCGACTAAACTCTCAAATCTGAGGTGAACTGTTACGCTCTCCTGTTTTAATTAATGCTTTCTTAAAGTATGTGGCTCTTCTTTGGGTGACCGTTTTTCCACTATAAAACATTTTTATATGGAAAATTTAAATATTAATAAAAATAATGTAATTACAGAGTCAGAGAAAGAAGCTCCGTTCGCCAACAAAAATTGGAGAAAATCTTGAACAGAGACTTGAAGCCTCACTCAAGACTCAAGATCCAGATGATCTGAACCCATCTGCTCAGAGACCAATGGTATCAAGCTGTGGGAACATCTCACCATTGATTGACATCCAGGTTTCTATGTACACAGGTGACTGTGATGGCGCTACTTCTAACGTTAACACTAACACCCAGAGCACGGTGAACTCAGGTGACGGCAACTA